CTGGTATTGATGGTGTCCCTGTTGTCCCGTCTTTTGGGGTCACCAGTTTCATCCACTCCGCAGGGATACCGTCGATGCCAGGTGTTTTGCGGTTGCATGACCTTAAGAGGGTCCGGACAGATTCAGGCCAGAAGATTGGGTCGTTCCATTCCGGTACCGATTCGAGGCGCGGTAGTTCTGCGGCATACTGGTGCCAATAGATTGGGTCTTGGCAGTGCCCAGTTGCTTCTTCATGCAGCTCTGTGCCGTGGTCCGTCCAGGCCTCATTCACTGAGGCACGCTCCGTCCTCAGCGCTTCCTCATAAACGATTGGTGTGAGCCCCAGGCACTTTTTTGGTGGGTCCAGTCTCGGTCGAATGTAGCGCCAGGTCTCATCTTCGTTGGTGCTCTCTAGCATAGATTTCGCCAGGGAGGCGATTTCGCGGTTTCGATCCTCTCGTTTGTCTTCTCTGGAAAGTTTCTTCTTTCTTTTGATAGCTTCTTCATGTTGCGCCTGTAGCGCCGTTAGGACTGCCTTCGCTTCCTTGTCTCCGGCGTTGACGCGTATGGCGGTGTGGTTGACGATCTGATAGAGTCGGTGGCGCTCGTCAATCCGGGTATTGGTACGTCGTTTCAGGCACTGAGGTTTGCAACTGTTGCGTTCTGGTGCAAGCAGTCCCAGCTCTCCGGCAATCTTCTGATTCCCATCTACAAACTCGCGTGCCAATTGGTCTAAAGATTTGTATGCACGGCTTTTCGGATCTTCAGCGCTGTGAGTAGGTGACTTGGTTTGGCGACGGCTTTCTTGAGTTCCTGCTGGGGTGCTCTTTCGGGGACGACTTGTGATGGGCTCGCTGGAGCCCCCGCCTGTGGGCTCGTTCGGGAGTTCTTCTTTCTATTCTTCTGTTTTTCTCTTGCTGGTTTGCTTCTTCATCGGGCTCTTTCCTGAGCTACATTCTCTGGTTACTTTGCATCTAGGTGGATCATGAGGTTTCTGTGTCTCCTTCTCCGTGTCTGGTTGGGTCTCTTTTCCTTTTGTACAGTCCTCGACTTGTATCAGTTCTTCATTACTGTACTGGTAATTCGATATCTCGTAGTTCAATACCGAGGCGATCCCACAAATATTCCATGATGCGAAACCTATCGAGTCGTAGCGCATAAGGGAATAGGAGTAACGCTGCGGTACTCGAGAGATACGTTGTCGATTGAGATGCACCCTCCACGGAGTGTGTGAGAGCACATGCCACCAGCGCCTCCTACATTCCAGTCGTTCACTGAGTGTCTGCCGCAGCGCTAGCGTAGAATCAGATGTACGCTAGTCAAGGTCGATTCAAATGCGACCTTTATATTGCCCGACGCTTTAACCTCCCCTCAACAATTGGGAACAGTCTGCAAACCACCCTTTCAGCGGCTACGTATCCGCTCCCCAAACACATAGGCGGGCAAGCCGCTTATTCCAGCTTCGACCGCAAACATACTGCCAGCCGTCTTCCAAAGTATCCGCCGAAATTGTTCCCAAAGTTGAGGTAGGTACCCAAGGTAGGAGATAAAACTGAGCCCGAGTCCGAGGATCGATCCAAGATTTGCGCCCGAACCTGCAGCGTTGATTCGGGAGGGGCGGATGACTAATCAGGATTTTCGTCAACATTTTCTGGTGCTACTGCCGCCGCCCCTCCGTTCGTTGCGCGGTCAAGGTCCCTGGCGTGGGCTTCCTTCGCCGTCGCCCAAGCACCCCGCGTTAACCCACTTTCAGAGCTTCTCCGGAAAAACTAGACCTTTAAGGCGGGCGTGGTGTGTGGGTCTTTAAGATAGTTGTTCTTTAATAAATAGTTTGCGACTAGTTTGTTTTGTTGTTTTTTTTTTGTTTTTTTCCGCACGACGATTTCTCTTTTTTGGTTACGAAGAACGTTCCATACACCACCGCCGTGCGATCATGGCGGCGTTTCATTGGTTGCGGATTGAACCGCCTCCGCGTCGTTGCACCATTCGATTCGAAACGTAGGGCATACGCGACGCCTGTTCCCGTCGGATGGGGACGTGTCGCCGGGCCGGTGCGGGTACCGCCCCGGGGATGTCGGCACCCAGACCCCGCGAACGGGGACGCAGGAGCAGTTCCCTCGAGCGGCCCCGCGAAATCAACAGACGACCATCGATGCGTAATACGTGGCGTAAATCAGGTATGCAACCGATCGAAAGGATACCAAGTTACGACGGCGACGGTTTATTCACTGACGCCTTCTCCAGACCTTGGCGTTTTCCTGCTTCAATCCAGTTTAGACAGGGCGTTAGAGTTTTCACGGAGGGAACCTCGTCTATTCGGACCAGTCTGCTCTCTTTTTGGAGGGACAGGTCAAGATCCAGCGTTTTCCTGGCGTGTTGTGTTTGGGAGTGCGGAGCGCTTTCTGCTTGTGCAGTGGACGAAAGCGGCTTTTGGTTGTCTCGTCACTTTGGACGCTACTGGAGAATAGAAGTCACTCGCTGTCTTCTACAGCTAGGAAACGCACTTATGTGATTTTATATTTCACTTAATAGGCAAATAATGCGACCGAATATGCAACGATTATGGAATATTTTTGCTCTCGGGCTTGTGCTGTTCCTTCTTGCGAGACTTTCGCAGACGCTTTTAATAACAACCGTGAGGGACGGTGAAGCTGAGGCTATAAAACGTTCCGCTGCTCGCCATGAGCTATGGGATGATTGTTCTCCGTTCAGGCGCATAGAGGGTTCTTGGGCGCGGAGATGGCGAAGTGTCGTTTTCCATAGGGAAACTTGCGCTCGCTTCCGTGTGACGGACAGAGAACTGGTGAGCGTCGACGGGGAATCTGACAGCTGCGGCATTTCAGGAGTATGCGTTAGCCCATCCACCGAACTCGAACGATGGTCTCAACTACCGGGGAAGAGAGTAGCGGGACACGGGGAAGTGTTGCGTTTCTCGAACGTTCCAACGCACTGGAAAAGAATGGACTGTGTCCACGGCTCGCTGAAAGGCAACAGCATTCCCGTTAACGTAGAAAACGGGAAATATTGTATTTTACCCGATGGACAGGGGTTCAACGTGTTATCGCCTGCCGCGGAAATCGAGCGGAGTGAAAGTCCTGCGGAAACAGCCGCGGACGAACTGGGATCTCATGAAGGTACTTATTCATGCCAGCCTGCCAGGCAGGTTGTGGAACCATGCTCTCCCGAAAGAAGGAGACTGGTAAAGGAAGCTTCGGGAGTAAGCAAGACTCTAGGCAGCTGCTTTTCGACCTGGCGGTCCTGGCGGTCCTGGTGGTCCTGGCAGTTCAGGTACCCCTGGTAGTTCGGATGGTGCCGGGGGTCCCGGAGGCGGTGGCCCCGGAGGCGGTGGCCCCGGAGGCGGTGGCCCTGGTGGCGGTGGCCCTGGTGGCGGTGGCCCTGGTGGCGGTGGCCCTGGTGGCGGTGGCCCTGGTGGCGGAGGTCCCGCTTCAGCTTCCGCTTCAGCTTCCGCTTCAGCTTCCGCTTCAGCAAGTGCATCGTACTCGCTGAGCTACTACGACTCGAGGAGCGCCTCAGCCTCAGCCTCAGCCTCAGCCTCAGCCTCAGCCTCCGCGTCGGCGTCGGCTAGCGCATCGTACTCGCTGAGCTACTATGACTCGAAGAGCGCTTCAGCCTCGGCGTCAGAGTCAGCCTCAGGCTCAGCCTCGGCAAGTGCCTCTTACTCGCTGAGCTACTATGACTCGAAGAGCGCATCAGTGTCGGCATCAGCCTCGGCGTCAGCCTCTGCGTCATCTTCGGCAAGTGCGTCGTACTCGCTGAGCTTTTATGATTCAAAGAGTGCTTCAGCCTCAGCATCATCTTCGGCAAGTGCGTCGTACTCGCTGAGCTACTATGACTCGAAGAGCGCTTCAGCCTCGGCGTCAGCCTCAGCATCATCTTCAGCGAGTGCGTCGTACTCGCTGAGCTACTATGACTCAAAGAGCGCTTCGGCCTCAGCATCATATTCGGCAAGTGCCTCGTATTCGCTGAGCTACTATGACTCGAAGAGCGCTTCGGCCTCAGCATCATCTTCGGCGTCGTCATCAGCCTCGGCGTCCGCAAGTGCATCCTACTCGCTGAGCTACTATGACTCGAAGAGCGCATCAGTGTCGGCATCAGCCTCCGCGTCTGCTTCAGCATCATATTCGGCAAGTGCCTTGTACTCGCTGAGCTTTTATGATTCGAAGAGCGCTTCGGCGTCTGCGTCAGCTTCGGCGTCGTCATCAGCCTCGGCGTCCGCAAGTGCATCGTACTCGCTGAGCTACTATGACTCGAAGAGCGCATCAGTGTCGGCGTCAGCCTCCGCGTCTGCTTCAGCATCATATTCGGCAAGTGCCTCGTACTCGCTGAGCTTTTATGATTCGAAGAGCGCTTCGGCGTCTGCGTCAGCTTCGGCAAGTGCGTCGTACTCGCTGAGCTACTATGACTCGAAGAGCGCTTCGGCCTCAGCATCATCTTCGGCAAGTGCGTCGTACTCGCTGAGCTACTATGACTCGAAGAGCGCTTCAGCCTCGGCGTCAGCCTCAGCATCATCTTCAGCGAGTGCGTCATACTCGCTGAGCTACTATGACTCAAAGAGCGCTTCAGCCTCGGCGTCAGCCTCAGCATCATCTTCGGCAAGTGCGTCGTACTCGCTGAGCTACTATGACTCGAAGAGCGCTTCAGTGTCGGCGTCTGCTTCGGCGTCGTCATCAGCCTCGGCGTCCGCAAGTGCATCCTACTCGCTGAGCTACTATGACTCGAAGAGCGCATCAGTGTCGGCGTCAGCCTCCGCGTCTGCTTCAGCATCATCTTCGGCAAGTGCCTCGTACTCGCTGAGCTTTTATGATTCGAAGAGCGCTTCAGTGTCGGCGTCTGCTTCGGCGTCGTCGTCAGCCTCGGCGTCAGCAAGTGCATCGTATTCGCTGAGCTACTATGACTCTAAGAGTGCTTCAGCCTCGGCGTCAGCCTCAGCATCGTCTTCAGCAAGTGCGTCGTACTCGCTGAGCTACTATGACTCGAAGAGCGCTTCAGCCTCGGCGTCAGCCTCTGCATCATATTCGGCAAGTGCCTCTTACTCGCTGAGCTACTATGACTCGAAGAGCGCTTCAGGCTCGGCGTCAGCCTCAGCATCATCTTCGGCGAGTGCGTCGTACTCGCTGAGCTACTATGACTCGAAGAGCGCTTCAGGCTCGGCGTCAGCCTCAGCATCATCTTCAGCGAGTGCGTCGTACTCGCTGAGCTACTATGACTCAAAGAGCGCTTCGGCGTCAGCATCATCTTCGGCAAGTGCGTCGTATTCGCTGAGCTACTATGACTCGAAGAGCGCTTCGGCGTCTGCGTCAGCTTCGGCGTCGTCATCAGCCTCGGCGTCCGCAAGTGCATCGTACTCGCTGAGCTACTATGACTCAAAGAGCGCATCAGTGTCGGCGTCAGCCTCCGCGTCTGCTTCAGCATCATATTCGGCAAGTGCCTCGTACTCGCTGAGCTTTTATGATTCGAAGAGCGCTTCGGCGTCTGCGTCAGCTTCGGCGAGTGCGTCGTACTCGCTGAGCTACTATGACTCGAAGAGCTCTTCAGCCTCGGCGTCATCTTCGGCGAGTGCGTCGTACTCGCTGAGCTACTATGACTCGAAGAGCGCTTCAGCCTCGGCGTCAGCCTCAGCATCATCTTCAGCGAGTGCGTCATACTCGCTGAGCTACTATGACTCAAAGAGCGCTTCGGCCTCAGCATCATATTCGGCAAGTGCCTCGTATTCGCTGAGCTACTATGACTCGAAGAGCGCTTCGGCCTCGGCGTCAGCCTCTGCATCATCTTCAGCGAGTGCGTCGTACTCGCTGAGCTACTATGACTCAAAGAGCGCTTCGGCCTCAGCATCATATTCGGCAAGTGCCTCGTATTCGCTGAGCTACTATGACTCGAAGAGCGCTTCAGTGTCGGCGTCTGCTTCGGCGTCGTCGTCAGCCTCGGCGTCAGCAAGTGCATCGTACTCGCTGAGCTACTATGACTCGAAGAGCGCATCAGTGTCGGCGTCAGCCTCCGCGTCTGCTTCAGCATCATCTTCGGCAAGTGCCTCGTACTCGCTGAGCTTTTATGATTCGAAGAGCGCTTCAGTGTCGGCGTCCGCTTCGGCGTCGTCGTCAGCCTCGGCGTCAGCTAGTGCATCGTATTCGCTGAGCTACTATGACTCGAAGAGCGCTTCAGCCTCGGCGTCAGCCTCCGCGTCTGTTTCAGCATCATCTTCAGCAAGTGCCTCTTACTCGCTGAGCTTTTATGATTCGAAGAGCGCTTCAGTGTCGGCGTCATCTTCAGCAAGTGCCTCGTACTCGCTGAGCTACTATGACTCGAAGAGCGCTTCGGCGTCAGCATCATCTTCGGCAAGTGCGTCGTATTCGCTGAGCTACTATGACTCGGTGAGCGCTTCGGCCTCTGCATCATATTCGGCAAGTGCCTCTTACTCGCTGAGCTACTATGACTCGAAGAGCGCGTCAGCCTCGGCGTCAGCATCATCTTCAGCCTCAGCAAGTGCATCGTACTCGCTAAGCTACTATGATTCGAAGAGTGCTTCAGCCTCAGCATCATCTTCGGCAAGTGCATCGTACTCGCTGAGCTACTATGTCTCGAAGAGCGCATCAGTGTCGGCGTCAGCCTCCGCGTCTGCTTCAGCCTCGGCGTCAGCAAGTGCGTCGTACTCGCTGAGCTTTTATGATTCGAAGAGCGCTTCAGTGTCGGCGTCAGCTTCGGCAAGTGCGTCGTATTCGCTGAGCTACTATGACTCGAAGAGCGCTTCGGCCTCAGCATCATCTTCGGCGTCGTCATCAGCCTCGGCGTCCGCAAGTGCATCGTACTCGCTGAGCTACTATGACTCGAAGAGCGCATCAGTGTCGGCGTCAGCCTCCGCGTCTGCTTCAGCATCATATTCGGCAAGTGCCTTGTACTCGCTGAGCTTTTATGATTCGAAGAGCGCTTCGGCGTCTGCGTCAGCTTCGGCGTCGTCATCAGCCTCGGCGTCCGCAAGTGCATCGTACTCGCTGAGCTACTATGACTCGAAGAGCGCATCAGTGTCGGCGTCAGCCTCCGCGTCTGCTTCAGCATCATCTTCAGCAAGTGCCTCGTACTCGCTGAGCTTTTATGATTCGAAGAGCGCTTCGGCGTCTGCGTCAGCTTCGGCGTCGTCATCATCCTCGGCGTCCGCAAGTGCATCGTACTCGCTGAGCTACTATGACTCGAAGAGCGCATCAGTGTCGGCATCAGCCTCCGCGTCTGCTTCAGCCTCGGCGTCAGCAAGTGCCTCTTACTCGCTGAGCTTTTATGATTCGAAGAGCGCTTCAGTGTCGGCGTCATCTTCAGCAAGTGCGTCGTACTCGCTGAGCTACTATGACTCGAAGAGCGCTTCGGCTTCAGCATCATCTTCGGCAAGTGCGTCGTACTCGCTGAGCTACTATGACTCGAAGAGCGCGTCAGCCTCTGCGTCTGCCTCGGTGGCAGCATCATCTTCAGCCTCAGCAAGTGCCTCGTATTCGCTGAGCTACTATGACTCGAAGAGCGCTTCGGCCTCTGCGTCTGCCTCGGTGACAGCGTCTGCCTCAGGCTCAGCGTCGGCAAGTGCGTCGTATTCGCTGAGCTACTATGACTCGAAGAGCGCATCGGCGTCAGCATCATCTTCGGCAAGTGCGTCGTACTCGCTGAGCTACTATGACTCGCAGAGCGCGTCAGCCTCTGCGTCTGCCTCGGTGGCAGCATCATCTTCAGCCTCAGCAAGTGCCTCGTATTCGCTGAGCTACTATGACTCGAAGAGCGCTTCGGCCTCTGCGTCTGCCTCGGTGTCAGCGTCTGCCTCAGGCTCAGCGTCGGCAAGTGCGTCGTATTCGCTGAGCTACTATGACTCGAAGAGCGCATCGGCGTCAGCATCATCTTCGGCAAGTGCGTCGTACTCGCTGAGCTACTATGACTCGAAGAGCGCTTCGGCCTCAGCATCATCTTCAGCAAGTGCGTCGTACTCGCTGAGCTACTATGACTCGAAGAGCGCTTCGGCTTCAGCTTCATCTTCAGCAAGTGCGTCGTACTCGCTGAGCTACTATGACTCGAAGAGCGCGTCAGCCTCTGCGTCTGCCTCGGTGGCAGCATCATCTTCAGCCTCAGCAAGTGCCTCGTATTCGCTGAGCTACTATGACTCGAAGAGCGCTTCGGCCTCTGCGTCTGCCTCGGTGTCAGCGTCTGCCTCAGGCTCAGCGTCGGCAAGTGCGTCGTATTCGCTGAGCTACTATGACTCGAAGAGCGCATCGGCGTCAGCATCATCTTCGGCAAGTGCGTCGTATTCGCTGAGCTACTATGACTCGCAGAGCGCGTCAGCCTCTGCGTCTGCCTCGGTGGCAGCATCATCTTCAGCCTCAGCAAGTGCCTCGTATTCGCTGAGCTACTATGACTCGAAGAGCGCTTCGGCCTCTGCGTCTGCCTCGGTGTCAGCGTCTGCCTCAGGCTCAGCGTCGGCAAGTGCGTCGTACTCGCTGAGCTACTATGACTCGAAGAGCGCTTCGGCCTCTTCGTCTGCCTCGGTCACATCTAGCCAATATGCAAGTGCGTCTGTGAGCGCGTCTGTTTCTTTCTCCAGTTCTTTGAGTGCATCTGCTTCTTCTAGTGTGTCTGTTTCGAGTACTACAACTGGCAATCCTGTACGTTTGATACTGAAAGAGGATTTTTTTACGGGTGTTGCCTCTGAGTCTGCGTTGGCTGACGCGCTTCGCCATGCCCTGGAGGTACTCTTCGGTATTACTCCACTGAGTTTTATTGTGAATAGTATGCGTGAGATCACTAAGTCAAGTATTCTTGAGTCGAACTTCAGGTTGGACGCAGACGAGTTTGTGAGTTGCATTAGCAGTGCGCAATCTCTGATACTTTATAATACGACGAGCGTCTGGGATGCCGATGGTTCAACGGCTTCGCAGATCGCATCGGGACTTCGCGAAGCGTTGAAAAATGGCACACTCAGCGCCGAACTATCCAAGTTTTACGGCTCTCCAGTCTGTGTAGCGCCGAATGGAACAGTAACTATAGCCGGATTGGTCACTTCGAGCTCGAGTCCGCTCCCTGTCTGGGTGATCGTTATCATAGTGGTGCTTGGAACTCTATTACTGTCTAGTTGCTGTGCGCTTCTTGTATTCGCGGTGCGTCGTCGGAAACGACGACATGCCGCGGAGAGCGAAGCGCAAGAGGATCAGACAGACGCTGAAACGGCCGACACCGGAATAGATGACTTCGGTTTGTAGTATTTATTTACCTATTCGTAAATTGTACATTGACTGACGTAATCTCAACGTACTCTGCCTGCGAGCCAGAGCTCAATATAACATAAGAATTATCTCCAGTTGAGAGCATTCCCTTCAGAATCCAAGATTCTTTGTGCGCGCGGGTTTGGACGACGTCGATTGCCACGGTCACAGAGTACTTGACCCGTGTCCGACAACAATGAGACTTTGAATTGCTCGTTCTGTTGTCGCTTTTCGATCCGTTTTCCAATTTCTACCTATACGGTTTACGCAACGCATGCACCACCATATTTGATTCCAGATTCGTTGGTAGAAAGAGGTTCCTCCGGGGTCGGTTTGGTGCGTCACTTTCGAATCTTTCCCACCGAAATCCGTTGAGTCTGCAGAATCAAGATTATCGCGGATCTTCGGACGTCGGTCTATAAAGCTAACCTCACAATTATCCAATTCCTCAACACAAGGGTACATAATTCTGGTCTCCTTACATGTTGTCTGCAAATCAGACGCATTCTTCAAGTTTTTGATTTTTATGCAGAAAGAACTCCTTATTGCAAAAATCCGTGCAGGTTGGTTGACAAAGAATAGGACTTCCATGTCGTATATTAGCGCAATATTCACCAGCTCATTCCGAAAGCTTGTTTAACCTTTTATGATACAAAACAGATCTCGTTCGAAGAACGATACCTTTTCGCCGAGGGGCAACATGCGAAACGGCATTCCACAGAAGCATCATTATTCTCGCGGGATTGGCTTCCAGAGGCTCTCGTCTTTTCATTCTGCTCGGCGAAGAATACTGGAATCGGACTCGAGTACTCACAGCGACGGCCACGTGTGGGGCGTTTATTGCCGATTTGCACGAAAGGAATATGGGCAGATTGAAATTCCTGTACATTTTCTCAAACTTGAATTGCCTTCCGGTACTTGTTTGATCACAGAAAAGACCCCGATCGAAGGCTTCTATCCGAAGAAAATAAAAAAACAGAGGAAAGTCCTGCTAGATAACCAAAGCTCTTCTTCGTGTGTCAACCGCGATTGAGCACGTCATGCGGGGCCTTGAAGAACAGATTCATGGAAGTGAATGCACGTTTCTATCCCTGAAGTCGTCCTCGTTACGAGCTAGTGCTCGATGGTGATAGCGCTGTCGCTGAAATTGCCGTGCGGGTTGGTGCTCGTTTCGTAGGCTTCGTATATTTGTGGATCGCCGAGTTCCGGCGAAACGTGAAGAATAAAGATGACCGAAGCATAAATCGTAAATATTATATATACTTCTTGTTCATCAAACAAGCCACAGCACGCTCATGTGCACCAGCTACGCCTTGGGATGTATCCCGTCGGAGTACCAAAGATACTCTGCAGCATCTCGGAAAAAGGTGCACTCCGCTCCCACCAAGGGGCGCCATTCCCTGACAGAACGCCTTCAAGCACAGTTTCATTGGGTGGGCGCCCTAGCTTGCGATACGTTGCGCTCAGCGCTACTCTGGGACAGAGATAACGGACAGGTACCCTGGATTTTACTTGCTCCGACTCCATATGCAGGAGCCTATGGAAATCGAAAGACTCGCGTACTCAAAAACGACAATGAAGGGGAAGAAAGCGAAGCGGTTGCAGAACGAGCCTCAAAGCGTGGTATTGATAGAGGTGAAAAGCGGATCGAAGTTTAGCATGCTCGCTAGAACCAGATGAACTTGTTTTCTAGCATAGATGGGGCCATGCTAGAATGATTAGAATTCGGACGTCAAGTCACCGTCCGTTTGAGTGAGCCGCTCGGCAGATGTATGATACCCCCCGGGATCAACACATGCGAGCCACGGGCGCTCTGCACGTGACGCTGCGACGCTTGGGTTGCATGGCCCTCGGGCGTTCTCCTCTCGGCCTCCTGGGCTGGTGCGATGTGTGCGCGCTGGACGAGCCTGTCCATTCGAAACGCGCCTCGAGCTCACGAGTGTCGACCCAATGCCCAGCCTATCGCCACGCTCACCGCTTGAAGCGCGTTCTGACGCTTCCGGGCGCGTTCGTGCACCAGCTGCTGGAGACAGCGGCAGCCGCGGTGACGACACAAAACCCGGCTGCGGAGCCTGCGCTAACGCAGACACGCAGCACCCTCGAGCCGTTCTGGCACCTGCTGAAACGCAACCTGCGCGCCGCAGCATGGAATGACGAGCAGCTCCTGGCGTTTATCGACGACGTGCTGGTGATCTACACATGCCAAGCAGCGATGGCACGTCATTGGCGCACGCAGCTGGCAGAGGTCATCGGCATCGCAGCGGATCGCGTGTCCACTGATGCGGCGATTGCGTGCTGGTGCCGATGCGTGCGCGACGACGTGCCGCGTTGCCGGCTCTGTGGGCACGATCACTTGACACGATGCTGGCTGCCGGCGCTCGTTGCCTTGATTTGGGTGATTCCACCACGAGGGCGCTCGCGTTGGCTTCAAAAGTGTCTATGTGCGCGTCTCCTGGAGAGCTGGGTATCGCGTCGTACTGAATTGCAGGTTGAGGCACAGGAGTCTGCAGTTGCCCGCATCGATGATGGTGCGTCCGAGGCGGATGCAGGGCACGCGTCGGTTATGCTGCTTGCACGCGTCGCTGGCGCGCTGTGCCTGCCACGCTATGAGGCCGGCCGCACGTCGGGACGCGCTTCCGATGCGAGTGATCTAGAGTGGATGGTGGATGCGATGCACTTGCTCCTGCTGGATTGGAATGTCGTTCCCGACATTGCCGCGGCGATACATTCGATGCGTCGGCATGTCTTGCAACAGCTTCGCACGGTGCTTGCTGCTTGGACGCAGGTTGCGCGTACGGTGCCGGAGCCGCGGGGTTACCGGCTGCGTACGCAGCTGCACCTGCTTCGTCGGCAGCTCTGCGATGAGCCCGTGGATGTGTTTGGGAGCGGTACGGTTCCGTGATAGTTCCCGATTCTCTAGCCGAGTACTGTGAACGCCACGAAAACGAACACGGTGACGACGGCGATGACGATGAGACTCAGCGAAATTCCCAGGATAGCACTGATAAAGAGCCAAAGGACGCGCAGGACGGCGAGAGCGACGAGCACCACGCCTGCCCAGAGGATCAGTTGCTCCCAGAACGTCCGCGACGGGTCGCTTGTGTAAACGCCCTTGGCAGGCTGCGCAGGCGCGTCGCGCAGGACGCGTCGGAGTGCCGGCGATATAAAGGGCCGCTCATCTGACTCTGGGAGCAGCACACTGTCGAGGTAGTCATCGTCCAAGGGCGGTGGGTCCGCGGGGGCACCACGCGCCCGCGCGACGGCGCTCCTAAGCAGGTTGGGCACGTTGCCGGGGGAGAGACGCTCGAGGCTTCGCCTCAGTCGGCCGAGCAACCAGCGCTGTAGCGCATTCAGCCGCAGCGGCCGCTCATCAGGTCGTACACGCACTGTCTGGGTCGGCTGGTCGCCACTGGACGGTGACGCTGGCGACGGCTCTGATACAGCACAGCGTGCCGGTGTGCGGCTAGTTCTTGACGCCGAATGCTTCACCCGCCGCACCCGTAACAACGCGCTTCCAGACGCAAACTCGACGAAAGCATACCTCTGCAAACCGCGTGGCATGGGACATAGGCGTCTTGCAGGTTATTGGAGCACAGCCTCAGTACACGTTTATGCAACAGAAGCGCGTCGAGCGCAGAGCGTATCGGTGCAACCGACGCCGCCCAGAGCTCGCTGTACCTGCCGCGCGCGAACCTGTGCTGCGTCAACTGCCCTGCTGCTGTCGTGTGTTGTAACATACGCTCTGCAACCGGCACAAGATCATGAGGTCGCAAGCCCACGACCCTCGGTCGATAGAGTTCACGCGCTTTCGTCGGTGCGCATCGCTTCAGATGCGTCCTGTGTTGCAGGCGACACGAAAGCGCCTCGTATTACAGACTTGTCGAGAAAGGCGCACCTGAGACACGCTTGTAACCGTCATACATGTACAAAAGGCGCATCCGCTGGCGATCCTACGCCACGCTGCTCTGCGGATCGCCGTCTGCGATGCATAGACCAGCGGCAGTGTCGCTCGAAATCTCGCCTGCCGCATGCTCAATGCGTACGCGATGAATCCCGTCCTAGTGCTTCTCCTCGGTAAGACTCGGATGCGGTACGAGGCCACTGAGATAATTCGGCCAGCGCTTCAGGTTATTCGGATCGCAGTACCAGGTCTTGGTTCGGCGCAGGCCCTCTTCCCAGGACACCTGCGGCCTCCAGCCCAGCGCATGCAGCTTCGACGAGTCGATCCTGTAGCGCATATCGTTGAGGGTGCGATCTTTGACAAACTCGATGTGGCGGTTCGCCTCGGCAGACAGGCCGAAGAGATCGATAATGTCGTGCACAACGTCAATGTTGCGTTTCTCGATCTCAGAGCCTACATTGTAGACCTCATCGGTCTCGCCACAATGCAGGATGGTGTCAAAGGCGCTCGCCGCGTCCTCGACGTACAAAAAGTTGCGTGCATGCTCACCAGAGCCGTGTACAAAGCAGGGCCGGCGTTGCGCCAGCAGACAGATACTCTTGGGAATGAGCTTGTCGGGGAACTGGTGCGGCCCGTACACGTTGTTGCCGCGTGTGATGATCACCGGCAATCCGAACGACTTGACGTAGCCGCGGCAAATGAATTCGGCGGCGGCCTTGCTACATGCGTACGGGTTCGTGGGTGCCAGGATCGATGACTCTGTCTCCATGTTGCTCTCGCCGCCGTACACTTCATCGGTGCTGACGTGAATGAAGCGCCGCACTTTGCCGTACTGGCGTGCGCACTCCAGGAGGACGTGCGTTCCCAGCACGTTGTTCTCCGTAAACAGGATCGAGGACGTGAACGAGTTGTCGACGTGCGTGCACGCCGCAAAGTGGAGCACTGTATCGATGCACTCCTCCTGGAGCACGTAGAGCACCAGGTCATGCGAGCGGATATCGCCGCGAATAAACTTGAAGTTTGGTCGGTTTGCCACCTGCGCGAGGTTGCTCAGCGACGAGCAGTAGTCGAGCTTGTCCAGTACCGTCACGCGGTAATGGGGATATCGACTCACGAGCCGTTCGACAACGTGCGAGGCAATAAAGCCGGCACCGCCAGTCACAAGGATATTCCGCGGCACGAAGCGCAGACGGTCGCCGTAGACGACCCGCGCGTCCGAGTTCCCGTCGGGCTGTCCACCGGTTACCGACTTGGCACCGTTCGAAAGCGCCGTGCTCTGCGAGGACATTTATCTTGCCAACGTGCGCCTTTCGACTCGGACGCACACAACCACACGCACCGGCTACTTCCGAGCTCTGCCTGCACAGACGGTAAACGCCACGATCGTAGCGCGCGTTTCTGTTTCAACAGGATCCATCTCTAGCGAGACACGTGTCCCAGGTATGCGACCGATGATGGCGGCAGCAGCGTCGCCACCGCGCACGCATCGCTGATGCGACGGGCGGCGATTGCGCGCGCACTCTGTGGATCGCGCGCTTCCATCATGGTGTAGGGCAGAAGGATCAACACAGAGGCTGGCGGCATGAATCCAAGGAGATATGTGTGCATCATTCGCGCTGTGGGCAGCAGCGCGATAGCGACCGACAGTGATGTTGCTGGCAGGTACGGAGTGTGGGCGCTTTCGGGGATCTGTTGAAACTCGCCTTGCCACTAGGACTTGTTTGTGTGTTCGTTCCTGTGTTCGCGCACGTGAATCCGCTCCACTATGCAATTCATGAGCGCTGTCTCGAGCGTGTCGGCCTTGACGGACTCTGCTTATGTGGCAGCATCGACAGCACGTTCCCGTCGCTCAGACATCCCAGCCAGAGCGTGGCGAGAACGCTGTGTTCCCATGCTGCAGCGTGCGCGCGTGCACATATTCGCGCAGTGCTCACCAGCATTCACACGTTTTTACGTATGGAAGCATGCACGAATGCAGTAATGCACGTATGCACGTATCGAGTCCCTAGGATCCCTGTAATCCTGACCGCTGCTAGCAGGCAGTCGTCCAGCCAATGCCTGCAGGCCCCTGGATGCTGCATTCGAAGGCACACATGAACGCCAGGAACAAATGCCTGCGCCACTTTGATGTACTCTCTTCAGAAGCTTGCGTCATTTACACGGATCACTATTAGAAGGGCGCTGCAGTTGGATCATCCCGGTATCCGATTTCGCCTGTAGCGGATGCCACAGCGGAGCTAGCCTATCGGAGCAAGTCTTTCCAGAACGCCTCGCAGTCAGCCTTGAGGTCCGCGTCGAAAGGTGCCTTACACGGCAGTAAGTGCCCTGGTGCCAATGACGCTTCCGTTCCTTTCGCCCAGTACAGGATCGTGCTAGCGCGCCTGCAGTCGCAGTCGCTTCCCTGCACGCAAAGCGAGTCGTCCCTGGGAGCGCACGCCATCGACCCGTCACTCGGTGCGTAACCGTTTTGCCGCAAAGTACGCCACCTGCGGTGCTATATTAGGGCGCCACCAGCGGCTTGACACCCTTCGCCTGCATGCGCCGAAAGACCTCCTCCATGGCGGCGTGGACCTCGCGGATCTGGGCACCGGGATTGTCCCGCAGCAGTTTGCGGACGTCGAGCTCGCAGTTGGAGCGGCCGGCCTTGAGGATTTTTGCCTGCTCCTCGAGCGTAAAGTTCTTCCATTGGAACTTTGGATCGATGTATTTTCTGTAAAGCTCCAGGACCTCGTTATGCGAGATGCTACCCGGATTGGTAAAGTTGTACACGCCCGTAAGGCCGCGCTCGCTCATATCCAGTGCCACTGGCAGCAGCTCCGTCAAAACCGTCATGCTGTTGGGGATATTCACAACCTTTTCGTAGCGTGCGATTTTCGTGACAAAGCTGCGCGGCGACAGGTCGTCGCTCACGGGCATGCGCAGTCGCAGGATGAGCACATTGTCAAAAGCGCTGCGCAGCAGCTCCTCCACCATGGCCTTGGTGCGACTGTAGTAGCTACCGAAAAAGTTCGGCGGATCGTCCTCCGTGAAGGGCCTGCCGCCCTCAGCCGTAGGCCGGTGCTCGCCGTCGTCGTAGTGGTATAGACAGCCGGTAGCAAAGTTGGTGAGGTGGATCCCGCGCGACGCGCAGCAGTCCGCCAGGTTCAGCACGCCCAGTACGTTACTGCGGACGGTCTCGCGCCGGTGGTCCTCGCACCAGTCGACGTTCGGACGCCCAGTGACCCCAGCACAGTTCAGGACCCGCTGTGGGCGCAGCGCGTCCAGTTCGCGCTCACAGGCCTCGCGCTGCTCGAGACGGAAGCTCGCAAACGCGTACCGCTCACCGCGCTGCTCAAGTAGCTCTGCAACCATGTTGGCGATCCAACCGGTGCGTCCGACTATCAGAAAACGAACTTGAGCGATCTCGTCTGGCATACTTGAAGCGACCTGTTGGCACTCGTGTCCACGCTGCGGGAAGTTCTGGATATCACTTGAGTGCACCCTCCTACTTGCAGGCGAAACAGTACTGCCCCAGGTTTCCCGCGCATGGCGTGTCTCGGGTATTTGATCGGGGCGCGCCCCAGGCGTTTCGTCGGGCAATCGTGCGGGGCGCTGGAGCCGCTACGCTGCTTGATGAGAGCGTCTCGACTCCTGCATGCTGAGATATTGTGTGCTCGAGGAGCCGTTGTCTTTCAGGATAGCGAGAAACGGGATACGCATTGCACGAGCGTTCTTTACTGTACGGTAGCAGTGCATGCTAGACGAGTCATCGGTATGCGGTACAGCGGTTCGCAAAGTATTCGACGTGAACTTGTCTATGATCGCACCAGAGCAGCGCTCGACGCATGATCCATTCGCTGGTACGCAACGCTGTGGCAACCAGGGGCGCGTTCTTGGCAAAGCACCATAGCGCCACGGAGTGGGTGTCAGGTGATGCCGACGCTATCACCATGCGAACGGCTCCGCGACGGGTAACCACAGGCGCTGTCATTCTCTTTGAATCGGCAAGTGCGATACGTCGCGTTGCACATGGATTGCGCTCGCTGTTATGAGTACCGCCTAGGCGTCGGCGGTGACCTGGTGCCGCGCTGCGCCCTGATTCAATCCGCCAGCATCCGTCTCGCCGAGATCTCGATCTGCGACGCGTGCTGCGGAGGCTGCGTCGAATCGAGCGCTTCCCAGGTAAGCTCATCGATCGAGGAGTCATCGAGCGGCGTGGATTTCCCGCCTTCCAGATCCGACGATGTATTCGCCTGTTTGGCGAATGCCGCTGGCGCTTGTCCAGCACGCTGCATCGCCAGCGCCGAACGCTTCCACTCGTAGAAGCCGACCAGGCCCTGTCCGAGGCAGAACAGCATCGTGAAGCATATCGACACGGTAAGCACCGCGAGCGCGTGGAAGCTGTTATCGTCCCGTGTCTTTGCGATCCAGTCCGGGGAGAAGATGACGAACCAATAGTAGAAATCGGGGATAGAGCAGTACTGCGACGCGCCAATCTGCGGCGAGCAGATCGCCTGTGCAACCTGCAGCGCCAGCGCCAGGCACGCTACCAGCACGAGGCCTATCCAGCAGGAGCCCTGGAGGGCGAAACGCGCACGCGGCGGTAGCGCTGCATGGGATGCGCTGGCGGCACCTACACCGATGATCGCCAGCACCAGAGTCAGGCACGTCACCAGGATGCCGTTCCATGTCGGGCTGCGAGCGGCGACGACGAGCCCCACCACGGCAGCTACCGCCAGGAACGCAGTCGATACGAGGTACCCGGTGTGCATTTGGCAGAGTTTGCGCTCCAGGGTGCGTCGCTCAACGATGATCCAGAGCACGCCAGCCAAGGTCCAGTAACCGAAGTAGACGACAGTGGAGACGAAGGTCGGCGCATCCACGTATCCGAAGAGCTCGTGCAGCAGGTTGAAGAACTCGTTCCCGTCGTCCGCGCAGCAGGCCTCGGTGGACCAGAGCGCGGCATTCCACCACGGCCGCTGCGTGGATGGAATCGACTCGTCCTCGTTGCCGTTGCGCGTGAATGACCCGAACAGGTTCGCTTTCTGGAGGTCCAGGAAGGCCGTCGACAGGAAGCCCGCAGCGAATGCGATCAGCAGCAGCGACGAGAGCGCGAAGAAGAGGCGCAGATCGAAGGCGAGCGCCCCGCGGTAGATTGCCCAGGCAACGACCAGCGCAACGGCCACGCCGACGGCTGCGGCGATGGGAATCGAGCTCCACGAGACACCGCCCGTGATTCCGAACAGGAATACGATGAGCTCGACGCCCTCACGCAGCACGGACGTGAAGACGAGCAGCGCAACGCCCCATCGGCCGCGCCTCGACAGAGCCCGCGCTATCCCGCCCTCGAGGTCGCGGCGCATGTGCGCGGCCGTGCTGAGCATCCAGAAGATCATCCACGTGATGAGCACTACCGCCACCAGTCGGACAATGGCCTCGAAGAGCAGCTCAGTGAGACCCGTATACAGCTTCTGGCCGCGCGTCCAGAAAACGATGCCGAATGCGATTCCAATGACGATGAGCACACCGACGCCGGCTGCAACGCCCAGCCAGACGTCTCTGAGGTAGCGCTCATTCTTGGTACGCCGCAGGTATGCCAGACAGATCGAGACCACGATGCAGGCCTCGAGGATCTCGCGAAACGTAATGATAAAGCCTGCCAGTGAGAAGAGCTGTACCATGATAAAGCAAGGACTAGCGCGGTCGGGGATGGTATGCAAAAGCCCGTGAGAGTACTTTAAGAACACCGAGTGCGTTCTTTTGCAGAAAACGACCTAAACGTGAGTCTCTACGCCTACGTGCCTCTGCAACGGGGCAAGAATGAGCGGGAGAACAAGTTGGCGGATTCCCACGACGCTACGACTACCGCTACTGCTGCTGCTGCTCGTGCTGCTTCCTCCGATATTGATGGCGCACGCGCATGCTGCACGCCAGCCGCCAATCGGCACGGGATCGGCACGGGATCGGCACGGGATCGGCACGGGATCGGTACGCGGCGTGAATGCCGGCCTGCTGGCAGCGAGTTTCAGATGAATAGCTGCGCACTCATTGATGGATGCGCTGCTTGATACGACAGAGACATGCCAGGCAGGTGGTTTCGTAGTACACCAGGTGCGTTCGATGGCGACGGAACGCCAGCGTCATGCACGGTGCGATTCCTGTGGTGGACGATCCTGCCAAGCCGTGCAGGGCAATATTCCGACAAAGCGATTCCACAGGGGTCAATGTGCTCGCTGATGCTTTTATGCGACATCGCTGGTAACAGCACATTGATTTCGTGGTTGTTGGCTGTACTGCTCATACAATAGCGTATCGAACAGAGCGTAACGGTGAACGAGACCGGTTCACGTGGTGCAATTGGATTTCCTTTCGGGGTGCTTTCGGGATGCGTGCATACGGAAGCAACGCACCGGACACGTGTACTATGTGCGTGCGCTGGCAATCACTCGCGCTTCTCTGTGATGCGCATGGATGCGAGAGGCACCGGACACGCACACGCTACGTCTACGAGAGCCTCGGGGGCAGCATGTCGCTGTGATACACACCAGGGACTTGGACGGAGCGCTCTGGTATCGGGAATCTGCAGTCGCTTGACCGCTGCGCTATGCTCGCCGTCAGGTGTCATGCACGGCTCGTCATACATCTTCGCCAAGTCATGCGCTGCAACGTGCGGGCATCAGTGCAACGGCACACAGGGGGCCCGAGACGCGCCCCATGAGTGACCTGCGCCCTTCGTGGGTTGCAGTCACCAGAGGCGGCGCCGCGCCGGCGCCTCCCAGCTCGATGCCCGGAGCGGCATTCAGAGCGCCTGACCTCGTTCGTGCGCGGCGTGTGTCGCCTCTCGTAGTACTTCTGAACGTTTCGTATCGGTGCAAGCTGCTGCACCGTCTAGCGTGTACTGCATTGTCGGTGGAGTAGCTTTTATTATCAGTTTCGGTCTTGGTGCCACTGCCGCCGTTTTAGTGCGGCGTCCATGACCGGACAACCCGTGAGCAATACACTGGCTTTCGCGTTGCTGACTGTCGAGCCTTGCTGCTCGGAGCGAGTGTGACTTTGGTGTGCGGGACGGCCGTGTTTCGAGCTTGGAACACCAGATGGACGAACTTCCAGAGCAGGTACTCGTGGAGTTCCGCGCAGGTCGCGCGTACCTGGACAGTGGTTTGGTGCACTCGGACGGCCGCAAGGGCTGCGTCCGTGTCGTGCGAGCCGCGGACGGCCTCGTGCACTTCCAGTGGCTCGACCGCGCAACCCGTGCAATCGAGGAGGACCTGATCGTGTTACCCCGGCGACGCGACAGGGGTATTCCTTCTAGAAGTCGACCCTGCAGGCCATGCAAGACTATGCACTGGCGGCGCGTGCACGCCTGCCGGACTGGTAGAATGTTCGTCTTGGGCTTTGCGTCGTCGGATCTACAGCTGTTCTTTTGGCTGCAAGAGCCTCGCTGCGACGCGGACGTGCGGCTGGCACAGCGGCTGCGCAACGCGCTCGAGTGCCGTCCCCTGGACGACCCCGCTGGCTTGGATCACGCAGATGAGGTGCGGCTCAGCGACGCAGAGTCCCGACCTGGGCCAGGCCTCAGCTCGCAGGTACCTGACGGCGCGACGCGTCCGTCGTCCGCCGCGCTTGGGCAGTCGCTCGTAGACGCGCTGCAGCGTCTGGGGGCCAGCGCTGCTTCCGATGCTGTGCATGCTGCGGATGACGCAAGTCGTCAGCCGCAGGCGCGCGCCGATGATACGCCTGACCTCGGGGCGCTTCTGCGCTGGGGCCCCGCGCTGGAGCGGCTTCTCCGCGAGCCGGGCCTCGGACCTGCATCCGCTGCCCTGTGCCGCGAGTACCTGCCATCCAGCATCGACCTGGAGAGCGTGCTGCAATCTGCCGCGTTTCGGCAGCAGCTGGAGGCGCTTTCGACTGCGCTGAGACGCAGCCGCGGCGATGCTGGTCCCCTGTTCGCAGCGTTTGGCATCGAGCCACCACCAGCGGGCGACTGGCGGCACGATCTGGAGGCGCTGCTAGAGGCGCTGCGCCTTCGCGCTGAGGAGTCTGCGCGCAGTCGTTCTGAGGGCCCAGCGCCAGAATCACGGCATGGTTGTGGTAGATAAACTCGAGTGGGCGAGCTCGGGTTACCTGGAATAGAAACTCAAGTTTTATGCAGAGTAAACTGTATAGATACAAGCAGTTGCCTATAATAATGCGGATATCCCATAGACTCGCATCTGGAGCATCGTGCTATCCTCTATAAAACTGCTGAAAGAGGATAGACTCTTCTGCGCTGACTCGTGGAGGCACGCATCAATCGACTGATCGTTGCGAGACTGTACAGCCTGCACTTGTGTGAGTGCTCACAGATCAGTATCGGCGAGCGTGCGGTTTGCGACTGTCCTTGTCGGGACAGGCGGCCGCTACGGGTTGTGTGCCTTGCGCGGACGCCCTCGGATGCGACGCTCTGTGCTGGCGGTGAGCGCAACAGTGTGCAGCACTTGCACTTGCGCAGGCGGGCTGCACAACGAGCAGCTGCCACTGAACAGCACGAGTCGCGTATCGGCTAGCGAATGCGTCACGCTGGACCTGGCAGACTTGGGTGGCGCTGCAGCCTCGGATTCGTGATCAGGGTGTGGGCGCTTTATTCACATAGAATATGCTCCGTTTGGGCGGTGAATGCCGACGCTGCTCGTATCCGCTGGTAGAAGTGCATGCACGATGCGTGTGCAGTGTGCAGGGTATCTACCGCTGCATCTATGTGCGCAGCAGGATTCAGAAGGCAGAACGTTCCGCAGATTCTATGAGGCACCTTGTTGCTGGAATGACAGAATGGTGTACGCGACATTGCCCAATGATGCAGCATTCCATTGGATTTGGCGGCAGTTGGCTAGGCAGCCTCTAGCAGCGCCACACGTCACTGTATCCACACACACGCGCGATGCGTGCTCCCATGACGCTACTGCGGCATGTGAATTGCGTTTCGCGGAGATGCAAGGCAGCCCTTATAAAGGCTCGCTGCGATCGACGCACCTGTAACCGAAGCATCCACGGCGACGGCGTTGATGTTGACTGCGGCAGCAACGATTGCGTTCCGCACATGCGAACAGATGCGAATCAGCGCTAGACACTGATCTGTGCTTTACACAGCCGTTGCCCATCCGCATACGAACACGCACGCGCCTATGCCTGCGCATGCATCTATCTATGGATACACCCCGTAGACTACGGGTACGGGCGCTGAACTTGGAAACATCACCCAAGTGCATGGATCGCTGTATGCATGCATGCATGCGTGCGTGCGTGCGTGCATGCATGCGCTGCGTGCAGCGCGTCGCCAACGCGTGCTGCGCTACGCCCGCAGATCGACAACAGGCACAGAATAGGACACTGCCGTGAAGCGTGTGCAGCGGTGCCGGTGCCGGTGCCGGTGCCGGTGCCGGTGCCAGTGCCAGTGCCGATACCGATACCGTGCTGAGGCCTCTGGTATGGCAGCGCCAACGAGCTGCTCGGCCGGCAAGGGTTGGGAAACGAGTGCGTCCTGTTGCCTCGGGGTACTGCCCGTGGACGTGGCCTTTGTGCAACTGCATGCTTTCTCTGTAGTTGGCGAGAGGCTCGCTTCGGGTGCCGAACGAACGCCGCTGTCGCAGGTGCTGCCTCGGCGCTGGACACCGCTGCACCCGGCGAGCCTGCAAGATCGCAAACGAGCGTGGGTGCTCGGGCAAGTCCTGCAGAGACACCGGAGCTCGAGTGCTCTGCAAGGGTCCCGTGTTGGGCGCCCGCAGGCTGCGATTGTGCAGCTGCGAGCGTCGCTTGACCGCAGCGCACTGGCAGGTATGTCCTTGGCTCAAGCGGGCTTCCTCGTGATAGGCGCACGTGAGCCGGTCCTCCTGGACGTGGGCCCACTGCACCAGGTTGACGTCACTATGTTGCTGACGGGTGTAGCGACGGTTGGCGGTGTTCTCGTAGGACTCTTGATCGCGTTCATTATCTCTCGGCAGTGATGTCGCTGCACTGCGGCTGCACTGCTGGCGCTGCCCGCTGCGGTCTGTGCGATCCGCGCAGCATACGTTTGAACGGCAGAGGGCTTAGAACATTCGTTTGGCGTCTATTGCCGTGCATCACGCTTTGTATGCGTTTGCGTATGGATTCTGGGCGCACTCGGCGCCTGCGCATCTCTGGAATTGATAGGATTTAGAATGCTTTCCACTAGACGGGAAATGCCGACTGCGGGATTGTTGCATCATTCGAATACGTATGCCGCACGGCCGCACGCATTGCAGGTGACGCTCAACGGGGAACACGGCTGCCGCCTCCAGGTGCCGGCACCCATGGCGTGTCGGCCCTGGCCGCAGACGCCATCCAGCTCCGGAGTGAGGGCATCGTCGATGTCAATGCCGGGTCCGGGCGGAGTCTATGTGCGTTACCCTTGAGCGCACGGCGCTGTAACGGAATCAGATTGCGCGTACTGGACAGCATAGCCGGAGGTGGCGCGGTCATATCGAATCAGCCAAGAACGTGGGTGCACGAGCAGGTGGCGGTGTGCTAGAAGCGGAGCGATGCCGAGTCGTCTATAGGTGCAGTGGTTTGGATGGCGGGCCGATGGACGCGAAGCCACGGAGCCACCTGGTATCGCAGTGCGAATCGGCCCCGACGTGCGCGGACACCTAGATGGCGCTGGCATGGACGGCACTCCCGTGCATTCTCCGAGCGCATCAGCTGCTACAGCATGGCTAGAAGCGATTGCTCATCCGAATGCGGAGGAGCGCGCGCGATGCATCTTGCGGATGGTGCTGTATCCGAGACACCAATGCACGGACACCGCCCCTTTATGACGAAAAACGCGTTCGGTGGCGTTGCACACCAGTCGTGGCGCACTGAGCCCTGCTGATGAGCATACAGTAGCGTCCATTCTCAGCGAGCGACTGTAGCGTCACGCTTGCACCCTGCTGTGGCCCCCCATACGGGCGACAGCTGCCAGTCAGTAAAGTCCACGCATCCAGTCGCCGAGAGATTCGAGTTCACAAACTAATCTATGACGCAAGCCTCTTCACCTCAGTCGAGACTGTGCGCTCTATTGCATGCGCTGAGCACGCTCCCAGTGCCGACGTGCTCGACAGTGCGCCACTTTGCTGCCTACAAGTCCTAGGGGATGCGTTTTCCAGGCCTGCATCTAGTGCATGTCTTTGGAAGAACAACACGTATGCGTTCCCAGCGGTTACACGCACAACCAGGCGTCACAAACAAGGATCGTTCAAGGCACGCATGTCACAAATACACTTGGAGCATGCACACATGCGCATCCCCAGCGGATTCGATCACATGGAGGCGTCAAGGGTATCGATGCACGCATCGGGGTGCGTGCCCGTGACACACATGGGCGCGCACGATGCGTGCGCCACGGTTAATTTCCCGCTGGCAACGCCGCTGCGCACTCGAGGCGCTCCTTCGAGGGCACGCTGCTGAGCTGTGTCGCCTGCATATTCCCATAACGTCGTTTTCAGTGCCATCCCTTGTTGTCGCCTACGCTGGACGTGTACTTGATCCAGCGCATGGCCTCATGGTCGTCGGCGGTGAGCGCGATGTGTCCATAGACCCAGGCGCGGAAGTACCAGAAGCACCAGAAGACAACGATCCAGACGATACCGGCGAGCGGCAGCTGCAGCACCGACGGTAGCGCCGGCAGATCGAGTACCGCGTGCGCAAAAAGCAGCTCCGCGAACAACAGCGACGGCAGGTAGTGGTAGATAAACGTACTTCGCTGGATCGGCATGTACGGGAGAATGCCGAGCGCATAGCCAAGCAGAAGGAATGTTGCCAGCCGCAGGTAGCGCTCCCATGCGTCCGTGCTCGTTCCACGCTTTTTCCGCTGGCGAATCAGGCGCAGCAAGAACGGCATCGCCGCCACTGTACCAAGCACCGCTGCCAAGCACATCCAGAACAGCAGCGGATTCCCGATCAGATAGATCTGCATGGCGTGATGCGGGCGCAGCGGTCGCCCGTCAGCATCCAACGTACCCTCCTGCCAGCGATTCCAGTAGAGGAGGCCACGGCCTACGTAGGGCCATGTGTGCCAGCGCGCTTGCCACTGGTGCTCATCGAGGATTCGCGCGTTCGCCAGCAGCATCTCCTTGTTGAGCTGCCAGACGAGCTTGAGGAAAGGCGGCTTTCGGGCCTGCGGGTCGTAGCCGTCGCGACCAATGAGGGTCCGCTGGAACTCGGCGCTCATAAAGTCACCGCCTGGTCCATTATAGATCAGAATCCGAAAGTGCGGGTACCAGAGCGCCACGTACAAGAGCAGGGCTGTTGCGGCGACGATCGCGCAGGTGCTCCACTCGAGCGGCTCGGCGGCGAGCGCAGCGCCGGCAACCGACTCGAGGCCGAAGAGGCCGGGCACCACGAGCGTGGTCCACTTCACTGAGAGCGCTGCACCGCTCGCGAGGCCGGCGCGCACAGCAGCCCAGCGTCGAGCGCGGCTCGCTGGAGGCGTGCGCCACAGCCGCACGAACGCATCGATGCATAGCGCAGCGTAGAAGATGAGCTGCGAGTCCGTGAGGATATGGCGCGCCTCGATCAGGTTCAGCATGTCGAAGAGCAGAAACACGCCCACACTAGTGGCTGCGATCCGCGACATACCCATCCCGCGGGCGATGCGGAAGCCTAGCGGAGGCAGGAGCGCCCCGAAGACGCCAGCGCACGCGCGCATCGCATAGTACCGGCTGTCTGGTGGGTAGACCTTGTCGACGTACCAGTCGCGATTCGGGACGTCACCAGCGAGTTTCGCGACTGCGGCCAGCGTGAGCTTCGCCAGAGGCGGGTGGATATCAAAGAAGTAGGTGCGGTTGAGGTAGTGGTGTGCGAACGACGCAAAGTGAACCTCATCGAAGACGCATTCGGGTGGCCAGCGGATCCGGTAGAGGCGCGTCCACAGTCCAAGCAGCACGAGCGCACCCGTGAGCCAGGCGTCCGGGTTCGCGCGTACGTGCGCAGTCGAGCGCAGCACTAGTCGTTCGAGTGGTGATGCCTGTTGTTTCTGCGGGTCAGCGCCCGGGTGCTCATGCTGTGGTGTGTCCTCTTTGGTGCGGCCCTGATGCATGACGTCCAAGTCTGCCGCCTGCACACGCTCAGTTGACGGCGACGAGGCGGGTAGCGAAGCGGCGGTGGCGTCCGCGGCTCTTCGCTTGACAGCAGGCGCCATTTTAGGTCCGTGGGAGTACGGCCGGCGCAGGAATCACCAAAGTGTCCCGCCTCGGGGGTCACCAGGGGCAGCGGTTAGGCGTGTACAGTCGTCTGCGGACAGGCCGCTGTCAAAGGCAGGCGCTCGACGCTGCTGCTGCTGCTGCTCCGCGCTTGACTGAAGAACGTAAACTACTTGCCGAGTAGCTAGCTCTTTGAACGTTTGACGTGCTTTACAGTGCGTACGCTCCGACGGCGATCCCGCGCGTCCAGGGACAGGAGGTAATAGCTGTCTGGACCTGAATGCACTTCGAGTGCCGGGATCACGGACGAAGATGACCAGCTCGTTCTCGGCGGGTACGCACCGGCTCGTACACCAGCAACTGCAGCGTTTCCCAAAATCCGGTCGTGTGCCTGGGCGTCGCTCCTGTTGCAACTGGTGCAGTGCTTTGGAACCGCTCGGCTACTGTTCGGCTACTGTTCGGCTACTGTTCGGAAACGTCTGGTGCTCACCGACGACGAGTCCGAGCTTCCAGGCCACCACCGCCTTTTACACTCGAACGACGCCGGCAGTGTACAGTACTGGCGAGAAGCCCGCCCTAGCGAGAAGTCTCCCATTGCTATGCCGACGCCCCCCGTCTTTTTGGACCGGCCACCTACTCCTGCGTCCAATCTTGTCTCATATACTTCGACTTTGAGAGGTTGTCAAACAAAGTTCTCTCATGTCGACTCTGGAGGTACTTTCTCCAGCACCGCACTTCTTCTGAAATAGATGGCGGCATCAAAGGCACGATTTACATACCCCATCCGTTTCTTGCCCTCATTCGTTGTACTTGCCAATGCAAGTAGTTCAGGAACTCTCGCCCTTCTTTCCATTTGCAGTTCCGTCAGCGGTCCGTACTTTGCTAATTCCCCAGGGCTGCGCTGACACTTTTCCATCTCCACCCTCTGAAGTATACAGCCCAGCGCATGGTGTGTACACGATGTTCGGAACTCTTCTACAGGGATTGTAAGAAAACGCCGTGCACACAAATTGTATGTCCTCGTCGACGAAGCTGGCGTAGTCCGCTTTTTTTGGAGCCCAGCTCCATGCCCCATAGGCTACCATGAGCCACTGACTCTCATTCTCCTGGAGGCGTTCAACGCATTGAAAAAGTTCGCGAATGAACGCTGCCTACCACAGTAAGGACTCATAGGTAGACTAGCCCACCGGGGCTTTTTTACTTCTTCTACAGTGAGTCGCAGTGGACAAAACGAACCTCCATGAATTCTCGAAAAGCCTGAGAGTCCGCTCGTCGGCTCGTCACCTCGCTAATTACTTTCAGATGCTCTTTCACTCCTGCATTTAAAGTATCAATTTTCTCCCTCGGATTCATGATTCCCGCTTCTCGGTAGTACCTCGATCTCGAGAACCTGAAAAAGACGCATGTCTTTCTGACGTAAGCTACATTCAGTAAAATCTTCCGAACGCTTGGGTACAGCGATGGTAATGACGTCAGTATTCCAGGAGTAAAGGCCGACGACGAAGTCGTTCTCGTGTAGATGATACGTCCCGTGGCCTTTCGTCTTGTTTTCGTGCTTCGGCAAGGGCGGTAACGGAGACGGGATCGGACGAAGTGCCTGCAACCGCTGAAAGTGAACCAATATGTATACCCCATCGTCATCGATGGCCCCCGTGAATACCTTCTTTTGGCCGGTATCGGACGCTTGCAATCGAAGTTATACTTCCAGTAGGTGTCCCGGTCTTCGCCAGTGACCTCTTTGTTGCTTCTATCGGGCACTGGATAAATCTCTTTCTTGAAGGCGTAAAGAAATCTAGAGTCGATATTCACAAAATGTGACTTGAACTCGCATAACCGGACGAAAAATAAACCGCAACAGGAAAAGGTCTTCAGTGTCATTTCTCCAGAAATTCATTATATCCATACTCAGCTCCATTTCGGCATTGCGTTCGAGTTCTAGGTTCCAAAGCATGTAGTAGGACATAAAGAGGGGGTAACAAATCTCTTCGTCATTACTCATATCTGAAAATATTTCTCATGGGTTGACAAGCCCCAAGACCGAACGATGCGTTGAACTAGTGGCGCGGATAACAGAAGCGTCATTCGTTAACCAGCATGATGTGACCTTGTCGACGGATATGGTCTCCTGTTCATGCTGGCGATCGTTCCTGATAACATCGATGATTGCCCGCATCCCTTCGCGAAGAAGGCCCGCGTAGAGCGCAAAGGGGGCGCCATTCATGGAAAAGACGACGGTTAAGATTTTTTGGTTCCTCGCGTTCGTGAGGAAACCAATTGCCCTGTATTCGTACATATCTGCGTCACCCCTGTGTCCAGCACCGTTGTCGCGGAATTTCTCGTAAATTTTGAGGTAGGCATCCGCCCGCTCTCTTCTCATTGATGCTTCCCTTTTCGGAGAAATCATGTGGTTGATAGAATTCTCTTTGAAAAACTATTCCGGAAATACCACTTTTGCGATGTGCGTTACGTCGCGATGCTGCTCGATCTGCAAATGCGTCACTCCTAAACAAGAGCTACAAACATTCCTGGAGTGCGAATCCACGCGGTTCCTGAAACCATCTCGGAACATTCAGTTGTACGGATCATTGATAAGTTGGAGACGACAGGATCACAAAACCATATAGTCGTACAGATGTCACTATTGCAGCCTTCGTCGTAGCGCCTCCCCATTTTGCTTCCTCTTCTTTTCCTAGTCCTCAGCAATAGCTACTATGTCTCGTTTGTTCCAAAACTAGGCAACCCAGGACATCCACAACCCACAACCTCAAATTACAAAACTCTGACATTTTTTAAGTGAACAACATATCGGACGCTTCTGCCTTGAACGCGAACATCAGTACAATACACATACAGGAAGTTAGAAACGCCATTGAATCCAAAGCAATACTTTGATACAATTCGATCGCAAATGCAGGCGGCCCCGAAAGAGCAGTCGCTCCAGAACAGGTCAATACCGCGTTTCTCATGATCGGCAACACGAACGTAGAGTGAAGTAGCGGAGAGAGTTCGCAATGCGTTAGTAGGGCGCACGATATAGAAAGTACAAAAAAATAATATACACAAACGGGATAGCAAGTACTAATGCCACCTACTGTAGACAGTAAAAGGAAGAAGTCCTTGCGTATAATCAAGCAGTGACATTTAGGCGGAGGGTCGGCAAGCAGCGAGACTGTACCAACCTCTGATAAGAGAGACAATACAGTAGCGAGTGATAAGACGCACCTTAGCATCTCCTCGGCAAAAGAAGAGATCCTGAACCAGGAGCGGGTATATTACGCTAAAGAGTCACCTAGATTGCGGTAGAGGAATGGTATAGCGCTTTACGCTATCGCAGGCAAAAGGTCTGCAAGAACAGCTTGAAGGCTCCCGAGAAAAAAATTGTCCTTGAACCTATGTTGCATGAAGCAAACCATTTCCAACGCGATCCGTGGTACGCCAGAGCTGCTCTCTTTCCAAAATGCATCCGCAGCAGCGACGGATACGCCACTGCGAATGCACATGGCAGGAACGCGACGCAGGATAGAAAATCTGAACCGATCAGCACAGCCGAGATAAAGTAAAAGCGAGGAAGGGAGAGAGACTGGTCAGCGGGATGGACGATTTCCCGAAAACAGTATCGATCCAGCAATTTCGCCGGTCTTACTAACGGGCAAGTCCGCCAGACCTAAAAAAGCATAGCGCCGGAGGTAATTCCCTAATGGCTCTGGTATGCTAGATGAAAAACATGACATATGCATAGGAGCTCATACAGTAACGCCGAAGGAAAATCCCTAATGAGTCTGGATTGATAGACGTCAAAAACAGAGACGCTTTCGCGATGGGATCATCGCTGTAATGGGGGGAATGGGGGGAATGGGGGG